GATCTAGTCACCGATGCCCAGAGCATACTTAAATTATGGAGGGAACACTTCTCCAGCCTGCTGACTGGCAGTGAACGCGCAACGCCAGGAGAAGGCGAACCCGATTCCCCAACCAACCAGGAAGAAGTTCGAATAGCAATTACCCGCCTGAAGAACAACAAAGCGGCTGGGGCCGATGGATTGCCGGCCGAGCTATTCAAACACGGCGGCGAAGAACTGATGAGGAGCATACATCTTCTTCTTCTTCTTCTTGATTGGCGTCGACACCGCTTACGCGATTATAGCCGAGTTAACAACAGCGCTCCAGTCGTTTCTTCTTTTCGCTAGTGGCGCCAATTAGATATTCCAAGTGAAGCCAGGTCCTTCTCCACGTGGTCCTTCCAACGGAATGGAGGTCTTCCTCTTCCTCTGCTTCCCCCGGCGGGTACTGCGTCAAATACTTTCAGAGCTGGAGCGTTTTCGTCCATCCGGACAACATGACCTAGCCAGCGTAGCCGCTATCTTTTAATTCGCTGAACTATGTCAATGTCGTCGTATATCTCGTACAGCTCATCGTTCCATCGAATGCGATATTCCCCGTGGCCGACGCGCAAAGGACCATAAATCTTTCGCAGAACTTTTCTCTCGAAAACTCGCAACGTCGACTCATCAGTTGTTGTCATCGTCCAAGCTTCTGCACCACATAGCAGGACGGGTATTATGAGTGACTTATAGAGTTTGGTTTTTGTTTGTCGAGAGAGGATTTTGCTTCTCAATTGCCTACTCAGTCCGAAGTAGCAAATGTTGGCAAGAGTTATCYTGCGTTGGATGCATGCATCAGCTTTGTAAAATATGGTCGGACGAAAGCATGCCCAACGATTGGAATTTAAGTGTGCTATGCCCAATCCTCAAAAAAGGAGACTGCGCCAATCTGCGCCAACTATCGTGGGATAAGCCTCAGCAAACTGATCGGACCTTATCAGTGTGGCTTCAGACCTGGAAAATCAACAACCGACCAGATATTCACCATGCGCCAAATCTTGGAAAAGATCCGTGAAAGGAGAATCGACACTCACCACCTCTTCGTCGATTTCAAAGCTGCTTTCGACAGCACGAAAAGGAGCTGCCTTTATGCGGCGAATGTCTGAATTTGGTATCCCTGCAAAACTTACACAGCTGTGTAAGCTGACGTTGACCAACACCAAAAGCTCCGTCAGAATCGGGAAGGACCTCTCCGAGCCGTTCGCTACCAAACGAGGTTTCAGACAAGGCGATTCCTTATCGTGCGAATTTTTCACCTTGCTTCTGGAGAAAATAGTTCGAGCTGCAGAACTAAATAGAGAAAGTACCATCTTCTATAAGAGTGTACAGCTGCTGGCGTATGCCGATGATATTGATTTCATCGGCCTCAACAACCGCGCCGTTAGTTCTGCTTTCTCCAGACTGGACCAGGAAGCAACACAAATGGGTYTGGCAGTGAACGAGTGCAAGACGAAATATCTCCTGTCATCAAATAAWCAGTCGTCGCACTCGCGACTTGGCTTTCACGTCACTGTTGACAGTCATAGCTTTGAAGTTGTAGGTAACTTCGTCTATCTTGGAACCAGCGTAAACACCACCAACAATGTCAGCCTAGAAATCCAACGCAGAATAACTCTTGCCAACAGGTGCTACTTCGGACTGAGTAGGCAATTGAGAAGCAAAGTCCTCTCTCGACAAACAACAACCAAACTCTATAAGTCACTCATAATTCTAAGAGGAAGACCTCCACTCCGTTGGAAGGACCAAGTGGAGAAGGACCTGGCTTCACTTGGAATATCTAATTGGCGCCACGTAGCGAAAAGAAGAAACGACTGGCGCGCTGTTGTTAACTCGGCTATAATCGCGTAAGCGGTGACTACGCCAATCAAGAAGAAGAAGAGAAAAACGTTAAATAACATTAAAAATACCAAATTACTTCTATAATAATTTCATGTTAAAAGAACAGTCTGCAAGTTTAATGGTAATAATACAAGGTGTGTTCCAAAGCAAACAGCACTTAAAAAAACAGAACAAATGGGGTTTTTCGGCAAAATTAATTCATTTTATTCAAAATAGTCTCCTGCTTCAATACAGCTTTTTGCAAGCATTTTGAATGCCCTCTACGTTTACATAACGCTTTCCTTTCATGGGCAAATGAATTTTTCCATATCAGGTGAATACGGGAAGTGGTTAATGGTTAWAATGTGATTTTTGGTCAAATARTCGGTCATAAGCGTCGATTGATGAGAGTCATTTATGCCCTTACGACCACGTTGAAAACGTTGAAACCACTCGTGCACTCTACTACGGTATAGGCAATCATCGCCATAAACTTGTTTCATCAATTAAAACGTTTCGGTAAATTTTTACCAATTTTAAAGCAAAATTTAATCTTCTCTCTTTGTTCGAAGCTCATTTTCGCACCGATAACCCAAACATACTGTCACTTCAAACGCAATAACTTCACTTCCAATCAATGAAATACTATGTTTCTCACTGGACAATCGATAAAGATAGAACATTTTAACGCACCAGTCCATATATAGATGGCGCCATTAAGGGCGCTAGATTCAAAAAATCCTGTTTACTTTGGACCGCACCTTGTATACTTGTTCTGAAATAATGTATTAGTTGCACATGTTATTATTATTATTTCGAAGATTAACGATGTAAACACCTACAATAATGATTTAAAAAATTAGTATGCTTCATTTGAAAATTGGTCATTCACATCGGGTGCCTCTAATAATTTTGAAAAGTGTTTTGAAATCTATAAGCTCTTGAAAAACTTTATATCTGTTTGGTTCTGAAGCATCTACAGTTGATGGTAAAAGATAGCGGTCGTCCTCGCGTGTTTCAGATCGATCAATCAGATAAATGTCATGACTTACCCGAGAACGTTCGGAAAGTTCACAACGTAAAAACCACCCAACAGTGACTTAAATATTTATTGTTTTATAGATACAGATGACTTGACGTAGAGAAATCTAATAGCAGGAACTGTGGAGAACGTAGAATCGTGGCCCGTGTCAGCTGATACGATCATCTTATGGGCGCCCAATGTAAGTGCACAGTGAGAAACGCTACTCCCTTCTCTCTTTGACGCAGGATGACGTGAGAATTCATGGCATTTGGATTTTTGCCGTAGAAACGTGCCAGCTGATTGCTCTCTCACAACGCAGGGTTGCCAATATCTATATACTGTAGTAATTTTCAACTTTTGTAATCCAATCTGCTCAATATGTTTGAAATTTTCTTAAAATAACTTAAAATCAGAGTCGAATGCTATTATTCATAAATATATAGACTATTTTTCAGTTTTGATATTTTATATTATAAAAAATTGTAATTGAAAACATAAATGTGTACAAAACTATATATGCGTATTGAGCAATGGCAACATTTTTCAAATGAAAACAAACAAAGATGGCTGATTTCTGCGTTTTCGCCACGTTATCAAGTGTTCACACATTTTGCTCGATGAGGAAGGAAAGGAAGGAAGGCAGTAGCGTTCTCCACTGTTCCTGCTATGAATTTGAATCTGAATCTATTAGGCTACGTTTGTGGTCAGAGTTAGAGAGCATGGCGTGCCGAAAATTTGCAAATATCAATCTTTGGTTCGAGCAGCTTCGTCAATAGCACTATAAACTGTGCGTGCTGCTTTTGATCAATGGCGGAATTGTTTGAGAACTCGTTTGAAAGCCATATGACTATTTAAATTTCAATTTTATGCAAAGCCAATKTAATATATGCATTGTTTTAAATTATTGAAATATTAAACGTTTGTAGACAGACACAAATGGAACAGATAGATACCAGAAGCCGGTATTAGTGGGTATTCTAGGCGAGATCTCCATGTTAGATATTGTGCTGTGGCTGCTTAAATTTACAAACAGAAGTACAAGCCATTTCAACGATTCCTTAATAAAAAATGCTCACTTTAAAATGTACAATCATTTAATATAATGTTTATTAAACTCTTATAAAAAATATTAATATAAAATTTATACTAACTTATATTAATTAATAGACGACGAAGGTATGTAGATGTACGGGTGGTTATAAGTTGCATCCCGGACCGCGTAGTTAACGAGGGGGTAGGCTGCATAGGATCGAATGTGTGTAACAAAGTGCTTGGAACGAATTTTGCCTTCCATCCTGTTGTCCATCCTTTTTGTTTAGTGAGKAGGGGTACAGGTGTGATGAGATGATACGCTGTTACCTGTATTTCGGCGTACTATTGGTAGAGTAGCCGAGGGCGCAGAACACATGCTATAAATGTTGAAAACGGCTTTGGTTTTAAACATACTTAGCATGTACATACATATGTTTGCTTTTWCGTGCGTACAATAAGAAACTATATTTTACGGRTTTATGAGTTTGTAACTGCTTTTCATAGTTATTGTGTTTGCGGAGAGGGAAGTTGGGCTAAGATTTGTGTTCTTATTTCCTTACCATCGGCTCTTTACACTAGTTCTTTAATTATTTGTTTCTTCTGTATTATTGACAATTATTACATTTTCTTACGGTCGGCTTAAGGACAGCAGCAAAGACGATTGGAACGACTCTAACCTCGAGCTGTTGGCGAGGAACAGTACTATGAGGTGGTACACAGATGGATCGAAAATGTCGGAGGGAATCGGTGCAGGGACTGTGGGCCCACGCACTAGGCTCCCCATACCCATGGGTGAGTTCCCTAGCATTTTCCAGGCAGAAGTGTACGCCATAAGCCGTTGTATAGAAATAAACCTCCATCGCAACTATATCAATGAGCGAATAGCCATTCTCAGCAATAGTCAGGCGGCGATAAGGCGATCTCCTCTTACGAGATCAAATCGCTGCTAGTGTAGCAATGTAGGGAGAGGCTAAATAGCCTTGCGGAAAGAAACCAGGTACACCTAATCTGGGTGCCTGGTACAAAGGTATAGCCGACAATAAACTGGCGGACAGGATAGGACCCGAACCTTTACGGGCGTGGGTCCCCATACCATGAAGGAGCTGCTCCGTGAAGAGGAAAGAGCAGGCAGGGAGGAGCACTGGCTACAAAGTCGTGGTATGAGACACGCCAAGCGGCTAATTGGAGGTTACAACCGGCAAAGGTTTTAAATCATAGTAAACCTGCCCAGGAGCAAACTCAGGCTGCTAGTCGCATGGTACACTGGCCACTGCAAGCTAAATAGGCATCTGCACAGCATGGGCCTTTCAGCTTGCGCCAACTGCTGTTTCTGCTACAGGTAGCCTGAAACACCGGAACATCTGTTGATCGACTGCACGGCAGTCTGTAGACGCAGATATAAGTTCCTTGGAGTGTTGTTTCCGGATAGGGATCACATTGCCTCGCTAGCGCCAAGTAGTCTACTGGACTTCATTTATATGCTGGGTCTAGGCGAGTCAGTGTGAGCAAGGAGAGGGCACAATAGGRGGCACAAAGGTCGCAGTGCATTCCTCATCACTATTCATTCATTCATTCAAGGACAGCACTTCCATATCTGACTCAGATATGGCCAGAATGTGTGCTCTTTAGCCCTGGAGTTAGGGCTGCGATATTAGAGGATCTTGTGAGAGAGTGGCCGTGAATTGCGAACGGCTTCATTTCGAATTGTATGTGGTAATTGTCAGCTACTTTTTTGAACTGGAATGTTAAAGTTTTACAACAGATTCCCACCAACTACCCTTATGAGGAGCGTTTATGTATGTGCGATAAGAGTTACCTTTGCTTTTGGTAAGTCTAGGTGCGTCACAGTATCGCATTGGGCGCCGTGTGGTATACCCTTAACCTTAGTTTTGAGTATAAATAAAATTATTTTTTATTATTTGAAAAKTATTAGGCACTTGTCTATGATAGGTGTAGATTTTTCGACTATTTGAACTGTCGAGGTAGTCGACGATGTATTTGCCGGTGTGCCAAATAAAATAAAAAATTGTTAGGATTTGGATAACAATTCAGATATATATATATATATGAGGTGTGTAATATGTAATATGTTTGTTAGTATATACAATTTTGTGTTTATGTGTGGTTATATACTTATAATTTGGGTTATTTGGAATATAAATACAATTATTATACAACTTAAGGGGTAATTTATGAGTATACAATAATTTTTAAATAAAACCTGATGTGGTTACTTATTCCCGCGTTGATCTTCAAAGGTTCTGCTGCTGTTGTTGTAGTATGGCCACCGCTTAAGGATTTCTTCAGGATTGTGTTCTTTTCATTATTGGCGTAAGTCATCCTGCGGGGTGGAAAAGTAGAATATATTTGAGTTTTTAATATTGTTAGACTGAATTCTATTTTTGTTTTTTCTGCCAGTTCGAGGAGTGTTTGAAAACGGTGGCTTGAGTGGTAGTCGTACGACGTACCGGCCATTATTTGATCGAGTAGTTGTGGCTTTAGAGAAGTCTTCACAATACTGATCTTCTAGAGTTTTGTTTTATATGAGGGGAAGTTTCTTTAACTTTTGAAATTTCCCTAAAAAGGTATTTGTTTGTATTATACTCAACTCAAGTTGGTATGGTGGTAACTAGTTTTGTAACTTGTCCACTTTGTGTTTCGATGTGCAGCGTTTGCGCTTCTTGTGCCTTTAAGCAACATGGTGTCACCTGACAATTTTTAGAATTTTGCTTTTGCAATTAAGCCCGTGATTCTTTGTGTATGAGTGCTTCTTTGGGGTGAGATGGGATATCTGCTGAAATGAAGCATTGAATTGTGTCTTTTVTGACAATATAAGCAGTTAAATTTGCTTTTGAAATTTTTAAGATTATGTGTATTGGACAATCAGTTTGTACAGAGTATTTTTGATCTGACAAAGTTGTTCTTTTCGTTAATGTTTAATTTTTTAAATTTCTCGCTAGTTTTAAGTTCTTTGTTCGGATGTGAACGTTTGTGTTTTGTAAAAGATTTTGTTTATATTTGTGTTGCTTCTAGCTTCTGGTCTATTTAAGCTTCCATTTTGGTCGTGTTTAATGTTTTTAGTTTTGATTATTTTTTCTTCTAACTTTTTCGCAATTTCAAATTGGGTGGTGAGAAAAWTTTTCATTACCTTTTCTGGTAATGCGGYGGTGCAATTGTTTACCAAAATTGTTTCCCAGCTGTCTGTAGGAATATTTTGTGTCGACAGAATCGACAAACAATTAGAAACAGTGGATTGTAGTCTTACAAATCCCCCACTTGGTTCTTTCTTGATTTTAGGCAAGTTTTAATATCTAGCTTTTAGAGCTTCCCAAGACAAATTGAAATAATCGTCATTTAATGCGAACTGTTTAACTATTTCGCCTTGACCTTTTGTTTTGTATCGGAGGTGATAAAATTTTTGCGCTTGTGATAATTGAGGATGATATATGTACACGGCCGTGGACATGTTCCGGAAGGACGGCCATTCTTCATAACCTCCGTAAAAGGTTTCTGTGTCACATGCGGGCACCTCGAGTTGGATGCCTGCCTTCTGACTGTCTTCTTGTGGTAGCTCTACTCTCGAATGTGAAGTAGGTGCATTTTCTTTTATTAGCTTTAATTAATCGGAGATCATTAGCTTTTGGTTCTTCATACTCGACTATTTAAATTTTTGAGGAAGATCTGAATCGTCAGGTTCTACAATGTCGTCATGACCCGCTTAGAGTCGTGTCCAAAAATTGTTGAGATTTATAATTTTGATTTCTAGTACTAGATCACTTTCTGAAATAAATTTAACAACCTGTTTTGAGCGTGTAGCTCCTGCAGGTGTATTTTGATTGTTATCAACTTTCATAATTTTGATTATTTTGTATTAATATCGTATTGTATTTAAATGCAGATTGACTTTTACATATATCAAAAATTGATAACTGGGACACTGAAACAAGAAATTAGATTGTCCGACGCTATCACGCACTAGAGTCCGTAGTTTCGGTTCAAAGAGAGTATAGGCGCACGTTTGGCGGCAATCCTCCGAGCAGATGGACTATAATGAGACTTGTAAACAATTTTGCCGAGCATGGGATAGTCAACAGAAGACCTTACCATCGAAACCCTTCAGTTCGAACGGAGGAAACAATCGCTGCTGTAGCTACTGCCATACAAAACAATCCACGTGTTTCGACAAGAAGCTTATCTGCTCAAATGGGTGTAAGCAGACAGTCATTACAGTAAATTATGCACAAAGATTTGGACTTATTCCCATATAAAATTAACGAGCAGGGGGGGCATTTAAATTCCATTATTTTTAAAACTAATTGTTCGCGCCTATCTGGCATCATCTTTTTAAACATATGTTTGAAGCTACATGGGCARCAYTTATGTGCTTGCTGTCAAACCAGCTTCCGTTTTATCTCTCTCTTCAATAAAGGAACTCGACGGCATAACACGCCTTTTAGTTCAATCCGCATAAATATAATTCATCTTCCGCGAACGTTATTAAACATCAACATATTTTGGTCCTTCGAGCCGGATATCATCGCATATTAATGATATTCCGCAAATTCGMTATTATTTTCAATATTTTTCCGCATTTTTAATATTAATCATGTCATCGGCTAAAATTCGCGACTCCGCGCTAAATGCTATCAAACGCTATTTGCAATCTAGCRAAGGCGACGCTCTGTCGGTAGACACCGAGGTAATAACTACTTACCTCCAATTGTTGGAAGAGCAATGGATTCGGTTTTGCGTAGCACAACAAGAGGTGGAACTCACATGTGGTGACGAGAATGTTTCTATTTAGGAGCAGGCACGCATACAAGGTGAGGAGTGGTACAGCACTGCCAAAGCTAACTTGAAACGTCTGTGCGTAACTCAAAAGCAGCAGACATTGCAAACTATCGTTCATGATTCAGTTGCTCTTGGACCGCTTCCGAAACTAGATTTGCCGTCATTTAGTGGTGATCCCACTCAATGGCTTCCTTTTCATGATGCTTTTTGCTCACTCATTCATACGAATGTCAATTTATCGGACGGACAAAAATTACACTATTTACGAAACTGTTTGAATGGGGAAGCATTCGATTTGGTGAGTAGCTTAGCAGTTTGTGACTTAGGGACTTAKTGACCGCGAGGTACAAGGTCATGCGTGGCATGGTGGCCAGCCACATCAAAGCACTCATGGCAATAGAAAGTGCAGCCAAGGATACTGCTAAGRGAATAAAGCAAGTACTAAATTCTGTACTTCAACATGTTGGTGCTCTACGTGCACTCGAACGACCAGTCGAATTCTGGGATGACTAGCTTTGTTCACCTAACCGTTTCAAAGTTAGCAATGGGAGTTATCGCTCGTCATGRACGATCTACCATCTTTCTCCGTTCTTCGAGAATTTCTTGAAAACCGCACACGCTCACTGGAGATGGTACCATTACTCAACACTACCGSAAARAYAACAACAACAACAAAGAATGTTTTCCACACGACATTTACAGAGCCAGAAGCAAATATCGCTACATCAACCGCTACTAAGGGGCCGCATTGTTCTTATTGCAATGGTGATCATAAAATCTMCGTTTGCTCACAGTTCAGCCAACTCGACTCCAAGGGTAAACAAACTGCTATTAAAAAGTTAGTTATGTGTATAAATTGTCTCAGTAATGGGCATATCCTCGCTAAGTGTCATAGCAGATCGTCGTGTCGCAAATGTCAACGACGTCATCATACCTTACTTCACGAAAACTTTATCAATCAACCGGGAAGGCTCAATTCTCTTTCCAATGAACAAATGTAACCTCACACTACGCTCACGCTGATCGCGTCATTCTACTAGCAACCGCTGAAATTATRKTACAAGATTATACCGGTCGTTGGCAACCCGCTCGCGCACTTCTTGACAACGGWTCRCATGCCTCATTCGTCACCGAGGCGTGTGTCCAACGCCTTCGCCTTCCCAGAACGCTGTCATCCGTTCACGTCACTGGGATTGGGTCACTGCAAGGAGGCCGGGCAAAGGGAGAAGTTACATTCTCCATATCAACGCGAACGCTTGATACTAAATTTCAAGTAAGTACGCTCATCTTACTAACGATCTCCTAACCTCCGCTTTACCGACAATTTCTTGGCCGCGTCTTACGGATTYGCCACTAGCCGAATGCTATTATTCCCAGGAATGGACGAAATGGACAAATTTCTACTACACGGACGCCGCAAGAGTGAACGGGGTACACCAATGGCACAAAATACTGTATTCGGATGGGTACAGTTTGGTAATGCTGCCAATTTACAAAACCCACCGGTGAACATTTCGACTTTACATTCCGACTTTCATTTAACTCAACTCATCCAGAAGTTTTGGGAACTCGAAGAACTACCCGCCCGCAAATTCTTTTCACCTGAAGAATCTATGTGTGAGAAACTATACGACGATACGACCCAACGTGCTTCGGTTGGTCGCTACATCATACGTTTACCTTTGAAGAATAATGTGTTATTAGGAGAATCACGATAAGCAGCTATGCGAGCATTACTCCGCATGGAAAGAAGATTTGCAGCTAACGAACAACTTCGCATAGGTATACTCTTATATGTTTATGGATGAGCTCACCTCTATGGGACACATGGAACCAGCTGAGACGACAACAGATAAACTTTACTATATGCCACATCATGCGGTGGTAAAGACCACAAGTCAAATAACGAAACTTCGTTTTCAACGCATATATTAAGTCAACCTCTGTGAATTCTTTAAACGATGCCCTCATGTTAGGCCCACAGCTACAACAAGATCTATTTTCTATTTTGATTCGCTTTCGCACTCACCGTTTCGGAATMATAGCCGATATCGAAAAGATGTACCGCCAAGTTTATGTCGCTAAAGAGGACACAGATTATCAACGCATAGTTTGGCGTTCYAATCCAGCAGATCCGGTTCGTGATTATCGTCTTTTAAGGGTCACGTATGGAGTCACCTCAGCAGCACATCTTGCTGTTAAGTCTCTACATCGCGCAGCACTTAACGCGTCAAACGGAAGCAAGGAAGTCATTGCTTTACTTTAAAAAAACATCTCCCACGCGCTCTCTGAAAGTGGGTTCGAACTACGCAAATGGGGAACTAATTCTCAAATGCTTAGAGATATGATACCACAGCGTATCTAAACAAGTTTCGCATCTTTTAGCCGATGGATGCCAAATCCGCACTCTTGGTACCTTATGGCACACAAACCACGATTGACTTTCTATAGCAGTAAGCTTTAACGACCTGCCTCCTAAACTTACCAAAAGAACGTTTTTCTCCGACTCAAGTAAGGTATTCGACCCATTGGGTTTGATCGCGCCCTGTACAATCCGCTCTAAGATTTGGTTACAGAAACTTTGGCGCTCAAATGTGGATTGGGATGAACCAGTTCYTTCAGAAATTGCGAGGGACTGGTTGGCACATCGTCGTGAATTACCGCAACTATCAGCGCTAAAACTAAGCCGCTGGACGGTACGATCAAA